AGTAAAGGGAGTAAGGGAAGTGACCGAATGAGTAAGTAAAGGGAGTAAGGGAAGTGACCGAATGAGTAAGTAAAGGGAGTAAGGGAAGTGACCGAATGAGTAAGTAAAGGGAGTAAGGGAAGTGACCGAATGAGTAAGTAAAGGGAGTAAGGGAAGTGACCGAATGAGTAAGTAAAGGGAGTAAGGGAAGTGACCGAATGAGTAAGTAAAGGGAGTAAGGGAAGTGACTCAATGAGTAAGTATTTAAGGGAAGTGTTCAAGTGACTAAGTCAAATAAGTGACATGAGCTACAGAGTAAAGTAGGTGAACGAATGAGTAAGTAAAGGGAGTAAGATGTGACAGAAAGTATGCAAGTGAGCAAGTCAAGTAAGTGAAATAAGCAAGTGAGTAAGGGAAGTGACCGAATGAGTAAGTAAAGGGAGTAAGGGAAGTGACCGAATAAGAAAGTAAAGGGAGTAAGGGAAGTGACCGCATGAGTAAGTAAAGGGAGTAAGGGAAGTGACCGAATGAGTAAGTAAAGGGAGTAAGGAAAGTGACCGAATGAGTAAGTAAAGGGAGTAAGGGAAGTGACCGAATAAGAAAGTAAAGGGAGTAAGGGAAGTGACCGAAAGAGTAAGTAAAGGGAGTAAGGGAAGTGACCGCATGAGTAAGTAATGGGAGTAAGGGAAGTGACTCAATGAGTAAGTAAAGGGAGTAAGGGAAGTGACCGAATGAGTAAGTAAAGGGAGTAAGGGAAGCATGCAAGTGAGCAAGTCAAGAGAGTAAGTGAAATGAGCTGGTGAGTAAAGCAAGTGCAAGCACTGAGTTGGGAAAGTGATCAAGTGATAAGGAAGTGAGTAAGGCAAGTGAGCAAGTGAGTAAAAGAAGTGAGTAAGAGAGAAAGAGAGTAAGGGAAGTGAGCAAGTGAGTAAGTAAAGCACTACAGGAAGTGTGCAAATGAGTAAGGGAAGTGTGCAAGTGAGTTAAGTGAGCTAGTGAGTACAGCAAATGAAGAAATGAGTAAATAAAGGGAGTAAGGGAAGTGAGCAAATAATAAGCAAGTGAGTAAGAGAAATTGAGTAAGGGAAGTGAACAAGTGAGCAAGGAAAGTGAATAAGGGATGTGAGCAAGTGTGTAACAGAAGTAGCTATAGGAAGTGAGCAGGTGAGTAAGGAAAATAAGGGAAGGGAAGTAGGCAAATAACTAAGGGAAGTCGGTAACAGTTTCTATGAATGTCACGTTTGTAAGCATCTATAAACACATAACATGTTATAATGCATTCATAAGGCATTATAAACATGGTTATAAACATTTATAAAAATGAATTACACTTTACAGGCATGTTTAGTAGACATTATGAATCGTTAATATAATGCATTATAAGTAGTGTCGATAACATCTTATACTGTCAGTGCCAATGAAGTCAGTCCCAGCTTAGAGAGCGCAAACTAAAGACAAATGCCAAGCTAACGGTGGTGTACATTACCTTTCCCACATTGGGTAAAACACTGATGGCACCACTAGTTTAAACTCTGACATTTGAAGCCTGTGATGAGATTTATTGTGCATGTTTTACTGTTTCAGTAAATTCTTCAGTAAATACTTCAACTTGAAGCCTCACTCTGAACACTGGAGGAGGCTTTAGTACAGTACGCTTCACTTTACTTAGAGCGGACAAATACGACTTATGAGCTCTCATAATTTGTTATGATCAGTGCTTATAATGTATTATGTTAAGAATTCATAATGCATAATAAGCATGGCTGTAATGTGTAATGCATTTTTATATATATTTATAGCCATGTTTATAAAGCCTTGAATGCATTATAACATGTTATGAATGTGTTTATAGATGCTTTACAAAGGTGACATTCATAGAAAGTGTTACCGGGAAGTCAATAGAAGAAGTCAGGGTACTGCGAGTGTGAGTAAGGCAAAGTGAGCAGAAGAAGTTAGCAAAGAAAGTGAGTAAAAGAAGAAAGAAGGCAAGCTAGTTAGGGGAAGTGTGCAGGGGAAGTGAATAAGGAGGTGCTGGGTTATATAATAAAACTGCTCTATGGAATCAAGTCTCATATGCCAAATTTCCAAACAGGATCTTTAAATGAAGTTCAGTGCTCTGAGCAGACGCTGAATGAAACGCGGCAGAGGAGTGTGTGTTCTGTGTGTAATTACAGCCTCCACACACACTGAGGGGGCGGAAGATTAATGCTGAACATGGCTTCCCTAAGAACGAGAGAGAAAGGCTCAGAATTATATAACAGAGAGAGAGAGAGAAGACGAAAGACGTCATGACATGTTGGGTGTTTGGAAGTTTGCTTCTTTAGTTTTGCACTGGAACTGGGAGGCTACAAGTAATGGAAGCTTATGTTAGCACAGTGCTAACTGCATGCATAAATCATCACTGAATGTGTTTACATGCACTTAACAGTCTGGTCATAATCAGATTTCTGCAGTCATCTGATTATTCAAGTAGTTGTGTAAACAGCACACTCCAATTTCTTAGATTGGATTATGGTCTAGTACTCAGATTAAGAGATCCGATACAGAGAGCTGATTTGAGCAAAGTAATGGGGTTTTTCAGTGCATGTGAGCTCTTACTCTGATTTCTTTCATTTTTCTCAGTCTGCGCATGTGTAAAAACAGACCGCTGTCCCGGAAACTGCAAGCAGGGTTTAACCCAGCACCAGCGAGACGGCAACAGAACACTTTTGGAACGACACTGAAACCAACTAAGCTTGACAAAATGAAGGATTTACATATTCTTCATCTTCTAGATGATGTATGTTCATATTTTACCGAGTTGTTACGTCACGTCTTCTTCTGTGAGTTTATTGGCTGGTTGCAAAGCAGAAATCCAATTACTGCCTGAGTCATGTAGACCTGGGGTTTTCCCATTATCTGATTACCCAAGTGCATGGAAACACACTGAATGGAATACTGAAAAAATCAGATTCTCTGCAGTTTATTAAGTGCATGTCAGATTATTATAAATCAGATTATTAAGTCCATGTAAATGCAGTCAGTGACTTGACTCAAACTGTGATATGCTATTAATGGATTCTGACCTAAAACTAGCATTTTATATGACGTTCATTATGCTGTATATATATATATATCATATATATATATCTATCAAGGAAATACCCAGCATGCATCACACAAATACATCGTAGAGCCATTGGGAATCTCTAGTCTTCAAACTGGAAAATCTCAAATCTCGTGGCAGTGTTGTAGGCAGTGATTCAGTTCTTTTGAACTAGCCATGTAAGTGAATCAATCTATTTGTGTTTTGATTCTTTTGATTCACCACTCAGAGTGGATGTCCAGAGACTGCATACGCTACAATTTCGACCCACTACAGTAACCCACCTTCACAGTTATGGCTAAGAAGTTCCGTTTCCATGCTAACAGTAGCCTAGCTCAGACTAGATAAACAGAATCATTTATCTGACTCATTTCAGTGAATCAGAGTATTTGAGTTTTTGATTTGTTTGATTCGCCCCTCAAGTTAGATGTCCAGAAATACTGTGTAGGCTACAGTTTTGACCCCCTTAACCCACTTTCCTGGTTATACCGAAGAAAGAAGGTCTATTTGCATGCTAAGCTAACTAAGACCACATTTATGAAATCATTTGTCTGATGCCGTTTAATGGAATCAGACTATTTGAGTTTTTGATTCACTTGATTCACCATTCAGAGTGTCCAGAGATACTGTGTTGGCTACCATTTCAACCCACTGAAGTGACCCACCTTTACTGTTATGGCTAAGAAAGAGGTTCTATTAGTGTGCTGATAATAACCTAGCTAAAGGCATGATTGAGTCATTAAATGAGTCATTCAAGAGTCATTTACTTACAATAATTTGTTTTCAAATCACTGTGTGGTGTCTTATCTAGCTATCTTATCTAACACTGAATTATCTATAGACATAGACCAAAATATGGACAAAGTTCAGGCTTCAGGATGGCTGCTGCTGCTTTTTAAGCTTTGCTAGTCTACTTTTGTCTGTGTTTATAGATAACCGAGGGCAGTCGTGGGCTGGAGGTTAGGGAACCAACCTTGTGACCGGAAGGTCACTGGTTCGAACCCTGAGCTGACAGTACATGGCTGAGGTGCCCTTGAGCAAGGCACCTAACCCCCAACTGCTCCCTGGGTGCCATGGATAGGGCTGCCCACCGCTCTGGGCAAGTGTGCTCACTGCCCCCTAGTGTGTGTGTTCACTAGTGTGTATGTGGTGTTTCACTGCACTGATGGGTTAGATTGAGGGGGGTGAAATTTCCTCACTGTGGGACTAAAAAGGGTCTCTTAATCTTAATAACATTGTGTCGTACAGTGTCAGAAACAACATAATTGGGTCTATTGGAGCTTACCGAACACCTCCATGAGCAAATGTGTGATGATTTAGACATGTACCCCAATGCTAATTGGTGGCTAATTGTTAGCTACATTAGCTGTGTAGCTCCAGTGCACCAAACATGTCTTATCAGATTGACTACAGTTGAGGTAAACTGTGTTTTTCAGGGCAGGACCAATGCTTTAAGGTGTGCAGTTACTCTCTAGATCACTGCAGAGGCCAAGGCAATAAATCTTAGCCTGTGCGATTATTTAATTCTACGGATTACAGGACAGACTTGGAATTGAACCATCCTGCAGTGGCCCTGAGATTTCATTAGAAACGGTCAGAAACTGTCCATTTCATTAGATACCCTTCTCTTGTAGCTCCACCTTAGAGACGGTGGCCCATCTGTTGGTGCGCAGGTAGTGATAGCCATCAGTGGGCAGTTTCTGGCCACACAGCCACTCCTAGAGGGATATGTTTGGGTTGTGGACCACTCTCAGCCTAGCTGTCACACTGACATGTTTGCCAGCGATTAAATGAACATATGTCATCTAATACATGGAGCAAAAGTATCACCAGAAAGCTGAGGCCTTCATCTTTATAGCAGTGCAAGCTCCAGTTGACGTCCTAATAAAGTGTGGATTCATATCTCACCTCATCTCTCTCTCTCTCTCACTTCCAGGATGGTATGGGTAATCTCCGAGTGACCAAAGAAGGCGTGAGGTTAGAAGGCGTCTCGGAGTTTCTTCTTCCACTCTACGTGAAGGAGATTAAATCCAGACGGGTAAGGCCTGTCTCAATCTGATGGGTTCAATCATTCTTCCTTGTTAAATTTTGGCAACAGACGCAGCCTGAAATTCGTCTTTGGTGGTCAAAACACTTTTTATCATTAGGTTATATTGACTTTAATAGTCTACAACCCAATAACTAGAGGCAGGTAATCCAGGTCCAAAAAGTAAAAACCCTCCCCAGGATTTTGTTCCAACTGCATGACTTCTCTAATTTGCTCAAACCAGCAGCAAAGGTGTTCAGGCAGTTGGAACAAAATCCTGGGGAGGGTTTTTTTACTTTTTGGACCTGGATTACCCACCTCTACCAACAACATTGTATTTTGAATGTTTTTAGCCCTCTGCTACATGTATCTGCCGCTTGTTTTCAGACATAATCAATTGAACACAGCATTTGTGTGAGCCTACGTTGCCAACATTAGCACTTAGCACCTCTAAGCCTACTAAAACCAGCATTTTTATGAGACATCACTACATATTACAATTGTTTTGTTTACTCTGCTGACTCATCTTAGCTAGTTTCAGCGCAGACTAACTGCTAGTAGCATTGCTAAGTTTAATGCTACGTGCCTTCTTTTCTTTGTCTGCTGCAGTTGGGTTACCAGGCTGATTGGAATTGTGTTTGCTTCTCCTGTGTAGCTGGTCTAATAGCATGCTGCTTTTATTTAATGCAATTGGTTACAGCTTCTATGACTATCTTGGGTTTCTGTAACTCCATTTTGCTAATTTAAGCACTTAACACTCTCAGCTCCTGCTAAGGCTACTGTTATTAACATTTTTAAGCCCACATTAATACCATTTCATTTATTCAGGGATGAGTGCTGACTCATCTCGGGGCTTGTGAGCTGGTTTAACTATTTTCAGGGCAGGCTACTTTGTCGGACTGGGTGGAATTTTGGTTGGAAGCATCTGTATTGATGCCATGTTGCTTTTATTTAATGCTGTCAACTATTAGTGAAGGATAATATGACTAAGCTACCTTTGTGAATGCCAATAATATTTGCCAACCGATTCCAGATAGAATTCTTGACATTCTATTTTCATGAGTCTACATTGCTAAAGCATTAAGCAAATGCTTATCATTTACTGTAGAATTACTGTTGATTTATTAGCTGGTTTAGCACCAGCTATGCTCATGGCAGGCTAATTGCTAGAGCTGTTAACCTCAATGCTATGTCTCTTCTTTGTCGGCTGCAGTTGGGTCATCAAACTGAGTGGACTTTTGACAATGCTTCTGAATTGTGGCTGGTCTGATGACATTTTCCCTTTTTTCAATGCTATCAATTCTCTCTAAAGGCTGCTGCTGAATAAGCTTAAACCAGCGTGAAAGCTGGTTTATGCTGGTCAATGCTGGTCTGGTGCTAGTGTACCTGGTCACCCAGCATGGTCTTGCCGGTTGACCAAAATACCAGCATTCAAAACACAACATATGCTGGTTTTACTGGTGACCAACTATCCTGGTCTGTATTGTTTTTAGCAGGGTAGCAGCTCTTTTCAGAGTATTTCCTTTTCAGATACATCATTGGAAATAGCTTTTTTAGTAGCCTTCATTGCTAATGGTAGCACTTAGAACTGTTAAATGTTGGTTAAGGCTACTACAAATAACTTGAGTCTGTGTTGCTAATTTTAGCACTTAGCACTATCAGCTATTGGCTGACATAATTACAGTGCTGCTGGAGTTTTTAAACACTGTGTCCACTCACTGTCCACTCTATTAGACACTCCTATTTTGTCAGTCCACGTTGTAGATGTGTAAGTCAGAGACGGTAGCTCATCTGCTGCTGCACAGTTTGTGTTGGTCATCCTGTAGTCCTTCATCAGTGGTCACAGGACGCTGCCCACAGGACGCTGTTGGCTGGATGTTTTCGGTTGGTGGACTATTCTCAGTCCAGCAGTGACACTGAGGTGTTTAAGATCCACTGAGACCAGCGCAACACACACTAACACACCACCACCACGTCAGTGTTACTGCAGTGCTGAGAATGATCCACCACTCAAATAGTACCTGCTCTGTGAGGGTCCATGGGGGTCCTGACCACTGAAGAACAGGATAAAAAGGGGCTAACAAAGTATCAGAGAAACAGATGGACTACAGTCTGTAACTGTAGAACTACAAAGTGCACCTATATAGTAAGTGGAGCTGATAAAATGGACAATGAGCGTCGAAACAAGGAGGTGGTCAGAATGTTATGCGTGATCGGTGTATTTCATGACAGTAACATTCAATTGTAATTTTTTTTTTACATCTTTTTACAAGGGCTAACATGACAAATTGCTACCAGCAAAGGATCCAGCAGTGTCATCTGTGCCACAGTAGATTCTGTAGTTAACGATGAGTGATTAATGACCCATTTTACAGCTAGATAACCTTTAGAAAAGGCCTGAATGCTCACATCAATAAATCAACGTTAGTTGCTGATGCGAGTGAACAAATTGCGAAATCTTGCTAGCTGCTAGCCTGCCGATGACAATGTTGATCAGCCTCAATAATTGCTGCCACATATGGAAGCCAATGAAGCACCCTGTGCATCATTTTTCAGCCTCCTCTCGGGGGAAATACAACCAGCAACCCCCTGCGGTGTCACGGATGACCATTTTGGATCCATTTCTTGTTCGGAGACTTGGAGCGAACGGGTGCAACAGAGCGGCTCTGGGCTAATCCAGCTAGCTGAGATGGCCAAGTCCTTTGGCTGGGGAAGTGCACCCAGTGCCCCTAGCCTAAGGGAGAGAGATTGAGCTGTGAAAGTGAGCTCTGGAGACAGGAAGCGCTGGCTTGTGTCATACAGAGCAGCTAGCTTGACCTGGTTTTAGCCCCCTGCTGGGTTAGACCCCAGCAGAACCGACAGAGAAAGAGAGAGTGAGAGTGAATCAGCCAGAAAGAGAATGAATGTGCAACTGTGTGAAGTGGAACGAGTGCAAGTGAATGAATTTGAGTATTTGCTTAAAGAGCCTGAGCTCCGCTTATGACGTCCACGTAGTTTTATGAGCTTAAAACAGTAGTAATTCATTTTTACACAACCATTTTCAACCTCTTTATCCTTAATGCTGCATTTACATTTTGATGGTAGACGGCAAACTGGATATTCTGTTGTTTTAAACAGATCAGTAAATATGAATTATTGTGTCAACAAACAACAACAGCGTTCAATAGTTCCAACTTTTGCAGTCAAGTCATTCCTCAATATAACTGACTGTATCTATACCTGTATATATAACTACACTGGAATAACATGCTCTTCTTCAGGCCTCATGATGCAACACCCAACAGCAGAACATTAAACAGGACTTAGAAGGTTAAACAGTGTGCTCAGTCTTTGGTGGATGTTGGAAAGGGCCTAGATTAGTCCAGGTGGATGTTGAGGGGCATCAGTACGTCCAGTAATCAGGTCAACTTGGGGAAGAAGCTGTTGCAGAGTCTGATGGTGGTGGAGCGGATGCTCCAGTGCCTCCTGCCAGATGGTGACAGGGTCGACCACAATGCTGGTGGCCTTGCGGATGCAGCGCTTGAGGTAGGAACTGTTGATTAAGATTAAGTGACCCTTATTAGTCCAACAATGGGGAAATTTCACCTCTGCAATCGAACCCGTCCATGCAGTGAAACACCTCATACATACTAGTGAAGACAAACACTAGGGGGCAGTCCAGTCGCAAGGCTGGTTCCCTAACCTCCAGCCCACGACTGCCCATGGTGGCATGATGGTGGGTAAAGACACCCCAGTGATCTTCTCAGCTGTCCTCCCAATCGGCTGTGGGGTCCTGTGGTCTGAGATGGTGCAGTTGCCATGCCAGACAGTGAGACAGCTAGTCAGACTGTCCTCTATTGTCCCTTGTAGAATGTAGTGAGGATGGAAGGATGGATGCTTGTGCTGTTTCTCAGAAAGTGAAGTCGCTGCTGGGCTTTCCTGGCTAGGCAGGTGGTTTTGAGGGTTTAAGTGGGGTCATCGGTGATGTGCCCAGGAAGGAAGTTGAATCATTGATGTGCACTGGAGGGTGATCACTGCGAGTCCTCCTGAAGTCAACAATCATCTCTTTTGTGTAATTAACGTTAAGAGATAGATTGTTGCCTCTGCACCAGTCTGCAAACCACTCCACCTGCTCCCTGTTTGCTGACTCGTCATTGTTGCTGATAAGACCCACCGCTGTAGTATCATCTGCAAATTTGAGGATGTGATTTGAGATCCAGTTTGCAACACAGTCATGAGTCAGCAGTGTGAATAGCATAGGTCTGAGCACACAGCCCTGAGGATCTCTATCGTCATTAAAAAAAAACAAAAGCAAACGTCCACTATTTTACTCTAAAACACTCCAGAAACCAAAAGGTCTTTGGCTATTGATCGGGGGAAATTATGAATATTGACTACAAAGTATAATATCACCACTGACATATGATGGTAATGCCATTAATTAGCTACTTTAGCCTCATAGCTCCAATGCAAAGCTAAAGAAACCTCAGACACATGTCTTGGCTGACCAAATACATTTGTGGCAAGTGGCGAAATTTGTTTAATTTTGATTTTTTGGTCAAACTATTGCTTTAAGTGAGAGACGCAAACCACTGACTAAATATATAAACTGGACCTGGTCATCCTGCTGTTTTCAATTGGGAACAGCTGACATCAGTGCCACTTCTCATGCGGCGGTTAGTGGGAATGCATGAGGCTACGCAGGTGCCTTAATGATGCAAATCTCCAGCATGTGATGTGAATAACTGAACTGTTTGTTGGAGCTACTCAGCAAAATTTTGTGAACGTAAATCATCACAACCTTTCAGAACAACAGGACACTAAACAACCTAAAATAAACTGAGTTACGACTTCCGCCCTGCGAGGGACTGGCGACCTGTGCTGGATGTTTCCTGCCTTCCGTCCGTTGAATGCTGGGATAGACTCCAGCACCCCCTGTGAACTAGAAGGAGAAGTGGCTTGTGCAGTGGGTGGTGCTGTTGCCTCACAGCAAGAAGGGCCTGGGTTTGATTCCCCGGCCGGGTAACCAGGTT